GGAAATCTGTGCCGTGTGGAACCCTTTTCGGTTCGATCCACGTTTTTCTGCGTGGATTGACGAGGGCCGACTTCCCTGGGGCGGATCCTCCGACGGTCTGAAAACGAAATAAAAACAAAAAAAAAAAAAAGAAACGCGCCGGAAAACGGGGGCGAGGATTCGATCCCGGCATGTGATACCGAGATGTGTAATTATGTAATAGACACACATACACACACATATACGCATCCGCGATCGGGGGCCGCAAGGAGAGGCGAATTGTAAACTACTGTAAACTACAATGTTACTACGTTTTACCAAGAGCTTATTGTAGTCGAGAATCATTAAACACGTACACGTACACACACACACACACACACACAGAAGACAGAGACACACGTGCGCGGACACACATACACGCAACATTAAGTCGTAACAAGAAAAAAAACAAAAGACAACAATGGTATTGAGTGTAGCACGAAAAAAAGAAAAAAAAAGACAAACGTTCTTTACACTTTTGCACGAGACGTGTGTTGTAAACTTAAATTAATTATCATTGACATATGTAATTAACGTTTTATTACTTAGCAATTAAACTTAATTTATTTATGATTACTCGAGTCGCTTGTGTTAACGCCCTTGTTGTTGTTATTGCGGATCGCGTGCAATCTTGTCTGAGAAACGATCGATCCAGGATCGTTTAACGCTAAAATGGTAGAGATCGCGTTCTCTGTCATTCGCTATAACCCTGCAATTTTTAGAGCAGCCCGATACAGCTTCGTACAGAAATTGCATTCCCTTAGGAGAGTATAAACCCGTTAAATTCATAATAAAATTTTAATAGATGCCAGAGAAATCCAAATAAAATTTCAGGGGAAAAGAATCAGCGATTTGAATTTACTGGTAGTTGGAAGCGAGTGTGAAAAATGCTGTCAAGCTTCGAAAAATGATCTCGAAACTTTTTTTTATCTCGTTGTTGTTGTTGTTAATCGCTTGACTCTCAGCAAGTTTTATCCTTGTTTAACGACGTTATTATAACAGGGTCCTTCAAAAAGGGTCCTCGTTTAACGAATTAACGATTTCAATTAATTATTACATTTAGACGGTACTTAGAAACCAATCTCTTTTTAGTGAGTTATTTCTAGTCATTTAGATGATTAATCGAGAAACTTTTCAAGAAATTTCGAGGAGCAAGGGAGGTGCTTGCAACAATTGTGCTTGCTTTTAGAGTATTGTTAGAGAAATTATTAACGAATTAACGAGGGCATCCTGGATGAGGCCCTTCGTTACCTTTGCGCTTTCCTTTCGAACCGTTTCAGTCAACTTTCCTGTCGTGTGTTGGCCACGCGGCGCTTATTTGTGATACACACACAATATCTGCGATGAAATCGCGAGATGTGGTGCGGCAGCAGTGCTCGCGAATCGCGAGACCGAGCCATCCGCGCGACATCGTATAAATAAATAAGCAACCGTAGCTCTGACGTATAGATTTTTATATTTTCATTTAGTCATCAGATTAGTCTAAAGGCACCGGACACTTATACATAGATATATAGATACATATTATATTTATACGGAGACCTAGTTATTAGATCGAACAGGAGAGAGAGAGAGAGAGAGAGAGAGAGAATGAGCGAGAAAGAGAGAAAGAAAGAAAGTGCGAATGAGGAATGTCGGCATTGTACATTACTGGCTGATTAATTTAAGATAATGAAGATGAGGATGAAAAGAGCACGATCGATCTGTAAATACATCGATCCTATTGTTTTTTTTTTTTTTTATATATAATTTGGATCACTGAACGAAAGGCTGACCGCGTTTTCCGGATGTACCGGAAACTTCGTCGGTGACGGACGCGCCTTCGAAGATGTCTAATCAATGACGTTCTCTCGATTCTCAGCGATCGTTTCGAGACAGCGGCGCCAATTTTCATGATCTCGCGATCTCAATCGTGATACTCACTCATATTCAACGACAACTATGCTGTTACTATGCTGTTTCACGTATTAGAATATCTTTACATTGCAGAATTGCAAGTTGGATTAGACTTCAACCAATCAGAATAAAATTGATTAATAATAAATTATAGAATTCTAATTTTCCATTTAATATTCAATCTTCAGTGCACTAAAAAAATGACTAAATTTTAATAAATATTTGTTCGAATAGTACTAAGCATTTACTTATAGTAAATAAATATTTACTCAATAAAAAAGATACTTAATGATTCTTGTAACAAATAAATATATATTTATATTTAGTAAATATTTAGTACTATTCAATCGAATTTATTAAAATTTAGTAAATTTATTTTCAGTATGCGCAAACTAAAAGAAATATTTAAAGTTATATAAATAATACATGTCTTGGAAATCGAATTGGAAAGACGCTTGCAGATCTGGGCTCGAATCCTGATTGAAGTAACATTTTTCAATTACAAGTTCTTTACAGATTTCAAAATGTTAGTAGTATCAAATCGAAAATCTAATTCAATTTGAGGGAATATTTTATTTCAGTTTGATTGTGTTGCAAATCCGAAAATTTATCCGAAAGTCTTCTGATCTTAATATTGTTTATATAAATAATATGTGTAAAAATTGCACAATTTGTAATAAAAATATATAAAATTGTGTTTTTACGAAATTAGTACTTTTAACTTTAATTGTGTATCTTTATATTAAATGGAAAATTACACACAATAACAATAGTATATTTTATAGTTTTTATGTAAATATACAAACTGTTGTAATATTATAGATATAACATGATAATAATATCACACATATTATATTTGCATTTTTACAATCAAATGTAAATCATACATATCGATAGTTTAAAGTTCCTGCCTATTTATTGCAGTCATCTTGAATTGTAATGTCAGAAGCGAGAACAATACTTTAAAAAAATTCTTTCAAACAATATTAAAATATATTTTTTTAATAAAACAATATTTACAAAATCGATAGAATAGATTTTTGTATACCGAAAACTCTCTTTGTTATCCGATATAAACGATAAATAATCATATATTTGAAATTGAATTATTTTAACTAGAAAACGAACAGGCTATTGAATTAAGATAGATACAATTTCATTCTATTGCGAAATAAAAGGAAAATTTTCGGTATTTTTTACAAGTATATTCTATCAAATGCAAATATTGTTTTATTGAAAAATATTTCTATTTTAATATATTTCGGAAGTATTTCCATTATGTATTTTCTCGTTTCTGACGTCATCAGTCTGAAGTCATGGTGAGTAGTCAGGAACCTTGAGAAAAATTGTATCTAATTCGTTGAATTATTACGCAAATATTTCTAAACTTACCTTCAATCTAAATTTACTTTTGCAAACATTGTTTACTGTAAAAAAGATAATAATTTCATTTGTAAGCAGAGTAACCATCTACACTATTAAAATTATTCTCTATAATTTTACATGATAAAATTTTTTTACAGTCGGATTTCATAACACACATTCGCATTTTTAAGCTTTAATATACAGAAATTTCTATTCTAAAGATTAAGTTCGCGTTCAGTTCGAAACGCGATTTCATGGAAATTGATTTTGGCCGCAAGAGAGATCCAGGACGATCCGGAATCGCGCGAATCGCAAACACTTGGCAATCAACCCCGAAGAAGAAGGGAAGTTTCGATTCGCGCTTCTCGCGACCGTTTTCCGTCGACAGCCACGCGTGAACAGCAATCATGGGCGAATGAACGAGCGGAATGAACGGCGGATACGAAAGATGAGAGCGAGAGCGAGTGTGACGGCGCATAATGAAAGAGCACACACCATGAAATTGTTAAAACGTAAAGTAGAGAATAAACGAGCAATAAAGTGTATCGAGTGATTAAAGCCTTATTCGCGGCGGAAACGCGCGACGATCTGGATGCAGAGGCGGAAAATTGTGGAGTTGTGCGAAGAGGATACCAGAGGAAGGGAGAGATATCATCTTTTTTTTTTTTTTAATATATCGTGTGCAATATAATTTATTAGGGCCTCAACCTTTCGTGCGAGAGATAAAAATTTATGACTACTCGATATATCAGTATACATCAACAATCAGTATCAAAATATTCAGAACGTACAAAAGAAATTTTTTAAAAATAATTAATAATTAATAATTATAATTTCATTAGACATTTTCAAAAAATAATTAATCTTTATAAGTAGGAAGGTTATTTTTTTTAAATAAGATTTTTTAAATAATGGGAGACGCTGAGAACACTTCAAAAAGTTTTATTTTTATAATTATATTTTTTACTAGTATATTATGTCAGTTAAATTTACATTAGTTATATCCTTGTGCAAAATAGAGGAATGTAAAAAATAATGAATTTTAAGGTTAATTAATTTTACTTGTAGATATTTGGGTTTTTTTATTTCTTATTTCTTTCCAAACAAAATTTTTAATTCTCTAAGGTTTTTAATTCTTTTGTTGCATATTTGTGATATTTATGTTAAAATTAAATTCGGGATGAATTCGAAATTTGTGCAGTTAGACTTAAAAATTAAAGAAATGTACAAATAAGTACAAAGAAAGTATTAAATATTTCCAATTTGATTTTACTTTCAATTTGGTCCTGTTAATTTAATAAAAGTAGAAATGCATGTAGCACTGAAATATATAGTACTTCTAATTCGCCTGAAAAGCTACGTATATCGATAAAAAAAATTATATATACACATCTCAATCAATTATTCACTTGCAAGACTTTTTTAAATAAAATCAGTAAAAAAATTATTTTTTGCTGACAATGTCATCTCTAGAGATTAAGAAAACTTGTCTTTTTGGAGAGCTGTGATCAACCCACTCACTTAAAGGATAAAATGATCGTCCAGGCAAAAAAAATTGAGGCACAAACGTGTGAAACGCTTGTAAAAATGCAAATCGATGGCTCGTGGTATACAAAGGCAGTCTTATCATTCAGATACTTGAGTCGCTTATCCTGAGAACGTAGCAATACCAGTGATCGCCCTCCCGAGAATCAAAGCGTGAATATCGCTTGTACCTGTGGAAGAGAAAGAGAGAGAAGAGAAAAGAAAATAATCTCGAATGACGCGATCCGTTAACAACGTGCTAAATGATCGCCGATCTTCTCGGGACGATCCTCGCGTAAGTGTTACCTTCGTAAGTGTTGACTGTTTCCAAGTTCATCATGTGCCTAATCACGTGGTACTCGTCCGAGATCCCATTTCCGCCTAGCATATCTCTCGCATTTCGCGCGATCTCCAGCGCTTTGACGGTCGAGTTTCTCTTAATGATGGAAATCATTTCCGGCGCAAGTCTACGGCACGCAAAATCATTTCCTGCCTTTCTTATACACATTACACGCACATGACTGTATGTTATGTATCAGCGATTACTTTTACACCGCTACATACATATGTAACATACAAATAATAACAAGATAATATCGTTCTCTTGTTTCAAAAGTGACGCAACTCAAAAAATGTGATTTTATATTTATTACCACGAATGAGCTCTTGGTATAAGAAATTATTCTAGCAATCGTTTAAAGTAAACAAACTTAAATTCATAGTTCGTTCACCAAATAGATAGATAGATAGATTTTCAAAGAGATTATAATACCGTCCATAAGAGTGACACACTTTAAGTTGTGTCGTTTTTATAAATAAAAAGGAAAATCTTCTTCAGAGAATATTTAGAGTTAAGTCAGTTTTGATGATTGAAATTTGATTGTTTTGTTTTAAATTTAATCATTTTAGCTGATCAAAAAATAAATATAAACTATCGGGAATATATCGAGCTGTATCACTTTTGATGAATTATTCCGGATTTGTGTTATAATTTTATAAAATATCAAAATTCACTAAAAAAAAAGTATTCTTTTTTAAAATATTTTAAACCGAAAATGATAAAAATATTTCGTATTCCTAACAGTATATTCCTTTAGCCAACGTTATTTGATTAAACAAAAATTTTCTGTGTGTTAAGTTGAAAAATAGTTTTTCCTTTTTTCTTCAAAAAAATTAATTTTTTTTTTTAGATGTATCACTTTTGAAGTAAAAAAATGATATTGCTATATTATATTATATATATTATAAATCATAGAGAAGATCAAGAATGATTAATCTGAAAATATTAAAAATTATCGGTTTTCTTAAAAGGTAAAATATTTCCTGGTAAAATATTAATTATTCAGATTAGATTTTCCTTGCTTCGCTTTTTTTTAAGTGTATTTTACTTATTCTCATCCTTCAGTCTGCCGACTCGCAAGCAAGCTTGGAGACCAATCGCGATGTCGCACATCATGTCCACCAGTTTTTTCTGTACAAGCTGATTCGCTGCCAGCGGTCTTTTAAATTGTTTCCTTTCCAATGTGTAAGATCTAGCAATGTTCAGGCAAGCTTCTGCCGCACCCAACGCACCCCAGGCGATGCCGTATCGCGCATTGTTTAAGCAACTGAATGGTCCCTTTATCAAGTTCTATTATTAGGTATCATAAACTACGCGAAATATAATCGTAATTAGTACGATCATTTCGTTTTTTGCAGTCATTGACTTCATTTTTAATATCTATATTTTTTTTAAACCCAAACAATAATGATAATCACGTTGATAATGACAATATAAATAGCCAATTGATGATAACTAATAGTCAATTAATTAAATGAAGATATAACTGCCTTGACCAGTATAAAACACTGAATTTATTCCATTTTTTTTGAAAAAAGAGATAAAACCCAAAGAAAAACTAATAAATAAAATACTAAAACTGTTATAAAAATAAATATTATTTTTCAGTAAAAATATTTTCGAATTTATTTTCAGTTAGAACGTCACTTTGTGGAGGTGCTTTATACTTTTGGTCAAGAATGTATTATATATAAGGTAAGTCCTTCTAGTTTATTGGGAAGACTTACTTTGAGTCCCTGAACGTTCAATAAATTTTCCTCTGGCACGATTACGTTGTCCATTAGAATCATGCCGGTGATGGACGTTCTTAGAGAAAACTTCCCTTCAATCTTTGGAGTAGACAACCGATCTCCCGCAGCTTCTCTCTCGATGATGAACCCACGGATCTGACCGTCATCACATTTCGCCCATACTATCAACACGTCGGCGACAGGCGAGTTTGTGATCCTAAACGAGATTCGACAGATCTGATTTCTGTGCTCGATCGTGAAAGAAACGATGGAGAATACTAACCATGTTTTGCTGCCGTTCAATTTGTAGACTTTTTGTTTGGAGTCGTGAATGGCTCTAGTCTCCATGGCTCCTATGTCACTACCGTGATTGGGCTCCGTCAAGCCAAAACAACCAATTTTTTCCCCGGAAACTGAAATACACTTTGAAAGCTATCGCCCACAGCTCCAACGGTAATCGTCATTCAATCAATTTTACTAGCAAACTTATGCAATTTTATTAATTAATCTTGTCGATCTAATTTTCATAAGTAATATAAAAATTGAATACTTTATTTCTGCTTTATTTCTCATAGTTATCGAAAATAAATAATTGTATAAAATAATTCTAGAATCTGATAATTTTTTAATAATTTAGAATAGTTATTAATTATCTTGTATCTAAATAATCTATGATTTTCTCAGCAATAGAGAATTATCTTTACTTATATTGTTAGAGATAAAAGATTTATAACAATTTAATATTTACAACTCCAAATCGTCGATGACTATATGGTTTATACTTGTATATAAAAGAACATATTAATTAGTCATTCAAGTAATCAATATGTGAGGTATAATCTTCAACTATGATTGATCCTTCATCATGATGACTATTATTATTAATTCTACAATTATTATTATTTAATAATAATTACTAATTATATGTTTTCATTAAAATCTGCGTTGTTTTTATGCTCCTTTTTTTAATAATAGAGGAAAGCCCCCTATTATGAGATAGTGACGTTTCTGCTAAACTAATAAACGCTATCTATTAATTCCACCATAAATTTATTGCTCTTGGATCGAAAACTATTTAGTAGAAAATTCATTATTAGATTGCCTGTAGTCGTTGTAAAAAAAGATTTTAGAATTTGGATCAAGTTTTATTGAGATGAGCATTTAAATCTTGTTTATTATTTAATAAATAAATATTTGGCAATAAATTCTTCATGTGGCGATAGAGTAAGATTGTACTAATAGAAAAATACGGAATATGTTAACTTGTTTAATTACAGAAGTTACATTTGATGATCGTAAAATCATAAGGCGTAAAAATGAGATGCCCAGAGTATTTCTAATATGAAATAATCCATATTTCCATGTATAGTGAAAATCGTTGCTAAAGAATAAATGTTATTGTACAATAATAAAAAGTACAACCGGAATGAACGTCGAGTGTCTATTTCTGCTTGATTCCAATCATCTGAAGACGAGTTCTGGATATAATCTACTCATTTCGTATCGCATTTCGTATCGCATACTCATTTTTCACGCCTGCTAGCTGTGTTTGTTTGCATTTTAGAAATGAAAGAAAGTTTTTTAATTACTAATATACTTTGCGTTTTACTATCGATTTCTCGGGGCATCTCATATTAGAAGCACAATTTTTTGACTTTGTAATTTCACTTTTTACATTTCTTTAATTTAAAAAAAAAAGATAGAATTTGAATTAAATTTTATATAACGTTATCTTAAAGCTTATTAAATTCCCTTCAAAATCATCTATTATTTTGTTCAATTCTGCCCATAGACTTCTAGTACTTATTCAAAATGAACGTATCTCATATAACAGGGGCCTTTCCTCTATTAATTTATTCTCAAAGTCATTGTATTAATTATATACTAATTATATGATTTAGAAATTAAAGAATGTAATACAATCCTAGAATTCTAAAAAACACTTGAACGCACCCATTTTAGGTAGAAATCGTTCTTTTTGAGCATTGCTGCCGAACATGTAGATCGCACCGATTGAGAGAGAGGATTGCACTGAGAACGCCGATCGGTACCCGCTGTCGATTTTCTCAATTTCCCTGGCGAGGAGCCCGTAAGCCACTGATGATACCCCGGCGCCGCCATAGTCCTTCATGGTGCAGCCCAACACCCCGAGCTGTCCCATCTGCTTTACGATATTCCGGTCGAAGTGTTCCTTTCGATTCGCCTCGATCACGTTCGGCAGGAGCTGCTCCTGACAGTAGGAACGAAACTGATCCCTCATCAGGATTTCGTCCTGTGTCAATTGCGACTCTAGATTGAACGGATCCTCCCAATTGAAGGCATCTGACTCGCGAAATTCAATATAAATTTTCAATAAAAAAATCGATCAAAATTATACGCTGTTTGAATTAATTTTCATGATGACCCTGACGAAAAGTACGCTAAAGTTTTTGTATACTGATTTAATCAGAGTGTAAAAGTGAAATGCAAATATTTTGAATTATAAAATACATTTTTATCTAACACTACTATACAATGAAATGTATCGATGATTTCATGGTTTAACTAATTTTTATATTTATATTAAACACATGTACGTCAATTTGTGTATGACAGCTTTAATGTGCGTCAGTGAGAGTATTCAATCAAATTAATTAGAAATTTATTAGAAAACAAGGTCTCCTTTAAGTTTTTTTTATTAAAAAGCTGTCATCTTTAAAAGGTTAAGAAGTATTTTTCAGAAATCTTCATAAATTTAAATTAAAAATTTTGAAAACATGAGAAATATTATAAGATTTTTTAACCAGAAGATTAAATATTTTTTTACAAATTGTTTTTCTTACAACATTCAGTACAGACGTTATGTAATATTACAAAATACAAAAACAATCTAGTCTAAATGTCTATTCTAAACTCATTATTCTTAAATAATGAATATTTAAATGATATAAATGACAAGGAACTTAATTATGAGTTTCTAATTGTAAATATTGGAGGATACAAATATGAAGAAGTAATAACTGTAAAGCTATATTTTAATTGTAATGTTCAATTTATATACAATGCAGAGAATTTACTAAAGAAGACTATATTAAAGGTCAAAATGTTTCGAACTATTTGAAATTATTTTATACTATAATTTTAATTTATTATAATAACAAAAATCAACTTAAATAATCCATTTTTTTCTTGAATAATATTACGGTGACATATAACGATGAAAGGGTAAATATTTTTTATCAGTTATCAGTAAAGATGAGATAGCAAAATCGTAATGTCGGCAGAACGAACTATCGATTGAGTTGCGCCTCTGCATTGTGCTACCATCTACATTTTAAATCAAGACTGTTGATCATCATACAGTACGAATCATGTCGTTAAATGGCTGTGTGTTTGATAATTCGAAATATGATCTAAAATTAAGTTGACTTACGTCTCGCTCGGAGCGTGGCGGAGGCAGAAATCTCTGATCAATATTTAAGGACGAATATGACGAATTCTAATATACGATCACATGATCTAACGAAGAGTCCTAAAGTCGGTAAACTTCCCGACGAATTTCCAAAGGATACGTCTCGTGGAGTTTACACAACACAAACGGCCGGCTCTCAACAATAATCTCTGCATGTGGCTCGCCATGTTGACTAACGACTGATGATAGCGACGAAACACTGACTTTGTTAATCTCGTAAAAAATCTTCTTATCGGCCGTGTCTTAAGGCGTGTCCGCACCGAGCGATTGGAAGTTCTAACAAGTGTTTTGATATAAATATTTATTCAATGACTTTCGCTAAATGTGCTTCGATCAAGCAGCAGCTGACAACTGATGAACAGTCAGCTGATCTGCTGATGTCGAGGGCACTGTGAGACTTTACACAACAATGATTGGTTCAACAGCAATTCCGAGGCAAGTTCAAATGGTCGTCTCTCATAAAGGAACCTCGCGAAGTGTTAAATCCTAATTTTAACAAAACTTTGTGTGCATATAGGTACGTAAAAAATAAATTAATAAATTTAGAAAATATCAATTGAGGCGGGGAGCGATTTTATGCTCTAAAGATGACATTGTTTTGTTACTAAAATAATTCTTTTTTTATTGATTTTACTTAAAAATATCTTGTAAGTGAAGAATCTATTGATGTACTACATATATATATACATATATATATATAAAAAGACTATACACCGATATATATATATATATATATATATATATATAT